TATTCAAAATATTACCATTTCAATGTGTCATTAATAAACTTTTTTTTTCTGAGACAAGGGTCTCACTTTCTTGCCTAGACTGGAGTGCAGTGGCATAAACGACATGGCTTACTGCATCCTCAACCTCGTGGGGTCAAGCAATCCTTCTGTCTCAGCGTCCCAAGCAGCTGGGACAATAGGCATGCACCACCATGCCTGGCCAATTTTTTTATTTTTGGTAGAGATTAGGTCTCATCTAGCTTGATGTCAAACTCCTGGGCTCAAGTGATCCTTCCTCCTCAGCCTCCCAAACCGTTGGGATTACAGGCATGAGCCACCGTGCCTAGCCTAAAAATTCTTAACAAGATATTTTACATTCTCTTTTCCATACTATGTCTTCAAAATCTAGGGTATATTTTACTCTTCGAGTACATCTAAATTCAGATACTGAATTTTTATCAGAAATGCTTAATCTGTATTTTGATTTCATAAAGCCTACAATTGAAAAAGTAGTTTTACATTGCTAAGTTGTCCAAATATACTTGAAATTAAATAAAATTAACAACTGAGTTTTTCATATATACTTAACCTACTTCAAGTGCTCTGTGGCCACACGTGCTGGTGGCTGCCATACAGCACTGTGTAGCAGGAGGGCAGTGTACAGAATCCAGGCAACAATAATGCTTTTTCTTTCTCTTTCTTTTTTTTTTAGATAGGCTCTCACCTTGTTACCTAGGCTACAGTGCAGTAGTGCCGACACGGCTCAATCCTCCCACCTCAGCCTTTCCAGTAGTTGGGACTTAGAGGCATGCACCACCATGCCCAGCTAATTTTTTAACTTTTTCTAGAGATAAGGTCTCCCTATATTGCCCAGGCTAGTCTCGAACTTCTGGGCTCAAGTGATCTGCCCACCATGGCCTCCCAAAGGGCTGGGAGCATCAGCCATGGTGCCCAGCTCTAGTCAATAAGGCTTTTTTTTTTGAGACAGTCTTACTCTGTCACCCAGACTGCAGTGTAGTGTGACAACAGCAGCTTAAAGCAGCCTCTACCTCCCAAGTTCAACCGACTCTCCTGTTTCAGCTTCCTGAGGAGTGGGGACTATAGGTGCCCACCACCACACCCAGCTAATTTTTTCTTTTTTTTTTCCAGTAGAGTGGGGGTTTCACCATGTTGGCCAGGCTGGTCTTGAACTCCTGACCTCAAGTGATCCGCCTGCCTCAGCCTCCCAAAGTGCTGGGATTATAGGCATAAGTCACTGCGCCTGGCTGGCAATAGGCTTTCTGATGCCCAGAGTGACTTGAGGATCTCACAGGAAAAGATTACACAGACTCACATTTAAGGATTGTTTTTCCTGGATTAGCAAAAAGAACACTGTTTACACATCATGATGGTGAGAAGAGAGCATAACTAGATTAAAAAACTATATATAGCCGGTATACCAAAACTCTGTGACATGCAATTTATCTATATAACAAACCTGCACAAGTGTCAATTGAACCTGAAAGTTTTTATAAATAAACTTTTATAAATTAAAAAAAAAAAAAAACCAATATTTACATAAAATAATGGAAACCCTATAAAAGTACTACTCTATTCATTGTAACTATCATTTTAAGGAGTAAAAAAATTGTTAACATGATTATCATCAGGATGGCATAGTACTATGCAAATATCGCTAATGAGTAACAATGTTTTACAGACCATAAAGATGATGATTTAAGACCCTAAAGCTTCACATTTTAACTGAATCTGAAAGCAGAAGCTGAAATAATTAATCTCGTATAGAAATAACCATAATCAATTTCTACGTCATTGTTGGCAAAAATTAAAATGTGAAAAGGCATCTTAAAAGCAAGGCTCATACCTGGATACTGTCGGATAGTGGACACAGAACTGGTGATTGGGGTGTACGTGTGTGCCGCCAGTGGGTATGCAGAAGGGGGATAAGTTGGCAAAAAGTATTGGAATTGAACGGGAACAGACGGTCTAGAGATAGAACAGATGATAGCAAACAAAACGGTCATTTTCTTCTTTACCTTCAAATGATCCTATCCCCCAGATCCTCTTTCTATCTTTCAGAACTGCCAAATGAGCTTCGCCCAAATTGTGTCCCAAACAAACTCTTACATCATAGTACACACACCAAGAATGCAAAATTAAAAAAAAAAAAAGTGGATATTATAAATACCTATATCAATAAATGTAAAAACATAGATAATATTCTCTGGGTGATTTTTGAGATTAAGTCTGAAAAACAACTCACAAAAACTCAGTAATCAAATCTCTGCTCAATTCCTCATAAACTACACTAAACTCAGATTGATTTACTGGCCAATTTTATTAAAAATACATAAAACGAATAATCCCAATTTCATTCAAACTGCTTTGGAAACAATGAAAAGAAGAAATGAGATCCAAGTTATTTTTATTATGTTAGAGACAGGATATTGCTATATGCCCAGGCTGGAGTGTAGTGGTTATTCACCAGCACAATCATGGCACACTATAGCCTTGAACTCCTAGGCTCAATCAAGCCTCCTGCCTCAGCTGCCTAAATTCTGGGACTACAGGCATGTGCCACTGTACCTGGTTCCTAGTTTACTTTTTGAGCTTCATATAGCCTTGATACTAATATTGGAACAGGAGAATATGATAAAAGAAAGATTATAAACAAATCTAATTCACGACAACAAAAAAATCCTACATAAAACTGAATTAAGAACCATATAAAGTTTAATACATCATGATTGAATAAAGTTTATGACACAAAGAGAAATGCTTCAACATTGAGAATGTCTATTCATGTTTTTGATAAATTTAAAAATAATTTGAAACACAAAAGATAAAAATATTTGATAGCATTCAATAGCTATTCATGATATAGATACCTAAGAAAATATGACATAGGCCAGGTACAGTGGCTCATGCCTGTAATCCCAGCAGTTTGGGAGACAGAGGTGGGCAAATCACTTGAGCCCAGGAGTTTAAGACCAGCCTGAGGGCCGGGCGCGGTGGCTCAAGCCTGTAATCCCAGCACTTTGGGAGGCCGAGGCGGGTGGATCACAAGGTCAAGAGATCGAGACCATCCTGGTCAACACGGTGAAACCCCGTCTCTACTAAAAATACAAAAAATTAGCTGGGCATGGTGGCGCATGCCTGTAATCCCAGCTACTCAGGAGGCTGAGGCAGGAGAATTGCCTGAACCCAGGAGGCGGAGGTTGCGGTGAGCCGAGATCGCGCCATTGCACTCCAGCCTGGGTAACAAGAGCGAAACTCCGTCTCAAAAAAAAAAAAAAAAAAAAAAGACCAGCCTGAGCACTTTGGGAGGCTGAGGCAGGCAGATCACTTGAGGTCAGAAGTTCAAGACCAGTCTGGCCAACATGGCGAAACCCTGTCTCTATGACAAATACAAAAACTAGCCAGGTATGGTGGCACACACCTGTAATCCCTGTTATTCAGGAGGCATTGGCACAAGAATCACTTGAACCTGGGAGGCAGGGAATGCAGTGAGCTGAGACTGCACCACTGCACTATAGCCTGGGTAACAGAGTGAGACCTCATCTCTACAAAAAAATTTAAAAAACTTAGCCAGGCATGATGGCATGTGCCTGTAGTCCCAGCTACTCGGGAGGCTGAGGTGGGAGAATCATCTGAGCCCAGAAGTCAAGCCTGCACTGAGTTATGATGGTGCCACTGCACTCTAGCCTGGGCAACAGAGCAAGACCCTGTCTCAAAATCAAAACAAAGAAACAAATGAAAATGGTAAGACCCCCTTTGCCTTCCCCCAAAACTGTCCTTACTTGTAGGCAAAATAAACATGTACATAGACAATTTATAAACATTCAGAGAATCTATAAACATTTATAGAGCTAATAGAAGTATTTAACAAGGTGGATGGACATAATATCACTGTATTAAAATCTGTAAGCATTCCTAGACACAAATGATCAAATTAGAACACTTAACAATAACCTGATTTTGAAATTACTTTGTATACACTGTATAGGGTGTTTTATGGGAGAGGCAGATACAAACATAGAATAGGGGAAGCTATGGAGTTGAATTAGAGGTATCAGCATGAACTCAAATGTTCTTAAAATATTATTTACTTCCTACCTCTGCCTGCTCAAATGGCCTAGAAGAATGACAAATCATGGCCCAAGCGGGTTAATACCCAGATCTTGGTTTGTAAATGACAAAAGGGCTCCTTGGAGGAACAGGAGATTTCAGGGCCCAGACGGATATAGTTCAATAGGAATCTGGAATATCTCATGATGGAAAACAAGGAAAGGCTAGAATGGAGGGGATGTGGCAAAATCCACAGAAGTAGACAGAAAGAGCCCCCAAGGACCAACTGAGATCATTTGAGCACCAAAATAGATGACAGCAATGGGTTCTAATAATGAATAAAAGCAAATCTACAAGCCTGAGCCAATTAAAAAACAATAAAATGCTAAACATAATAAATAAATAGGGGTGGATAAGAGAGTTTCTTTACATCAGAATGACAGCTAATATATGTAGACAACGCACTAGACAGAAAAACTCACTATTTTGTAACTTTCGATTCAGCCAGGAATTAATAATAGGTCTGCAATTATTTAATGAATATTTACTGGAGAACAGGATATTTATACTCAGATATTTCCATACAGATTGTTTGTTTACAAAGGAGAAAATCATGCTTCTCCAGTAGAAAAAACTAGCAAACATCACCTTCACTAAGTAATGAATGTTAACATAATCAATACAGGAAAAACAGACAGCATGAGCTCTCTGACGGAATGGGAAGAACACACTGCTTACCTGGTATAACCTGAATGTAACCATGAGGAAACAATGTGACGGTATCAAATTCCCCAAAACACCCGGCCTCTCCACACTCTTCAAAAATATCCATGAATAAAAGAGAAGGGAGAGCTCGGACTCCTTTCAGATAGCTGTACCGAGCTGACGTCAGAGAATGTTTTTACTCTTCTGTGCTATAAATCGAGGTACTTATGAATAAATGGTCACAATGCTACAACCTTTGCTCTCAAAATGGCCAAAAAATACTAAACACACAAAACCAAAAATATGAATACTAGACCATCCACCAAAGGGAGACTGGTTTGAAAAAATCACACATAAAAAAGGAATTATACAAAGTGTAATTTTCGGGGGAAAATCTGAAAACATGAGTAATAAATACAGGCCATATTTGTGGGTTATTTTGTTTTATGCTGATAAAGGAGGATGATTAATGATACAGTCAGGCAGAATAGCCGAAACACAGACTCCTACCTGTTGTCACTTCGTGTTTCCATGGCCACAGGATTGGGAGAGGCCCGATGTCCGGAGATGGGAATCAGGCTGCTCCTTTCGGCAGGGTAGTCAGGCTGGATCCGAGGAGAAGTGTGTGTGATCTGCTGGGGCACCACCTTGGCTGCAAACAGTAAACGCCAATTCCATGACCACTCTACACTTGTTTTTTGGCATACCAAAACATTCTTGGCTAGCAGCAATCTTATGAAAGCAAACAAAATAAGCCTGGATTTTTAATCAAAACAAAAAATGAAAAATAAGCACATAAAGTTCAACAAAATTATTTCAACCCTATCATTCACTGATATATTCCTATAGTTATTAAAGCAGGGTTCAACATTAATACTTATAGAAAGATAGCAGCGACCAGGCTCTTTTCTCCTCATCTGGCTTTTTAATGACCTGTTTTTAAAAGGAGTAAATTGTTTAAAAAGCAAACAGGCCAAGCATGGTGGCTCACACCTATAAACTCAGCACTGTGGGAGGCTGAGGTGGGAAGATCACTTGAGTTCAAGAGTTCAAGGTTATAGTGAGCCATGACTGCACCACTATACTCCAGCCTCAGTCACAGACTGAGACCCCGTCTCACAATAAATAAACAAACAAAATTTTGGGTTAAAAAATGGAAAAAAAACTTATATTCTACTCTAGGTCCACAGATAATTATAAAACATAGCTAATTAGCAATTAGAAGACCAATTTAATTCCCAAGTCTGTTTCTTTACCTATAAAGAAGCCTTCTTTAGATCACTTAATAATTTCTTTTTTTTTTTTTTTTCTTTTTTTTTTTTTGAGACGGAGTTTCACTCATGTTACCCAGGCTGGAGTGCAATGGTGCGATCTCGGCTCACCGCAACCTCCGCCTCCCGGGTTCAGGCAATTCTCCTGCCTCAGCCTCCTGAGTAGCTGGGATTACAGGCACGCGCCACCATGCCCAGCTAATTTTTTGTATTTTTGGTAGAGACGGGGTTTCACCATGTTGACCAGGATGGTCTCGTTCTCTTGACCTCGTGATCCACCCGCCTTGGCCTCCCAAAGTGCTGGGATTACAGGCTTGAGCCACCGCGCCCGGCCCTAGATCACTTAATAATTTCTAAGGTCCTTTGAATGTCCTGCAATTTTATGTAATACTTTAGAGCAAAATCAAAATCAATGATTACAGAGTTTTCAAATTCAATCTGAGGCTCCAAATGTGTACTCCTTTAAAACCTGCAATCCAATTTTGTTTGGAAGATATAGCTGAACTAGAATACACTTAACACTATTCTTTATAGACCTATTTATTAACAGTATTACTGCCTGGGAATTCAGAAAGAAAAGCTGTGATCTTTTCTTTCTTACTTTTTCCTATCTTAACAGAAATACAGAGGGACAGCTTCCATCTGTGTAAAAACGCCATTTACACCAGTGAGAGGCACAATAACAACAGAGACTAGACTAGGAGGATACCAACATATTACCCTAAATTCAGAGCATTTAACATCAAAGGTAAGCTGCACAGACCCACTGTGATGCCCAGCCAGCTCCTATGGGAAGCAGCTGGAGAAGTTTTTGCAGGGTGATAGCAGAGATGCCCATCTGACCACTGAAGATTGCATCTATTGGCCAACGCAGAGAGAAGCTGGCATGATAGGTTTTCCATCAGCAAGGTAAGCAATGAGGGTGGTGAGTAGGGAGCAACTAAGTCTCGCTTTTTCACTGAGGCCCATAAAAGGCAGGAGAAAATGATGCTTCCAGTAGGAATAAAGCTGCCATATGACGGGGTAGCTAACCAATTGTTGGTGGTCAGACACACCCCACCCTCTTGGAAATTAGTTTAAGTCTCCTTGTTTTCTAATTTAAAAAGCCATATAGGCCAGGTGCAGTGGCTCATACCTGTAATCCCAACACTTTGGGAGGCTGAGGCTGGCGGATCACCGGAGGTCAGGAGTTCAAGACCAGCCTGGCCAACATGGTGAAACCCTGTCTCTACTAAAAAGACAAAAATCAGCTGGGCATGGTGGTGCACACCTGTGATCTCAGCTATTCAGGAGGGTGAGGCAGGAGAATCGCTTGAACCTGGGAGGCGGAGGTTGCAGTGAGCTGAGATCATACCACTGTACTCTAGCCTGAGACACAGAGCAAGACTTCATTTCAAAACAAAACAAAACAAAACAAAACAAAACAAAACAAAACAAAACACCCCATACATTCTCAATAATCAAATAAAAACCAAGGGACTATGCAGTGCAGAAAACATTAAGTCTGTCATAAAGCTATCTCCAAAACTTATCCCTATTTTCTGAATAATGTGATCATCAGATTTTGCTTTCTATAATTGAGAACATGGTCACATGTTGACCAGAACATGGAGAAAATAAGACTGGTATTCTACTGGAATAGAGACAAAAATCTTATACTTGTGATTTATCAGGCTCTTTTTCTCTGAGCCAACATATTCCTAATAAGAATAGCCGAATTCAGATTTAATATCACCTGGAGAGGGAAAGCTCACTTGGAAAAAGCCTCTTAGGTGATTTTAATATATATGTTCTACTTCCCAACTTGAAAATCAGGGATCTAGGGTTGTATCAGGTTTCCCTTCTCATCTGAGCTACCTTTCTTAAGAGAGATCCTATTATAATACAGAAATATTGGGGTTAGCATAAAAGAAAAAAACAAAATGACAGCATAAACCCCATGGAATGTAGGAATACATGTAAGTATGTCTCCTAGTACTTTATAGTGAGTCTACTTCCAAGGTGGGATATATTAGGAAGACAGAGGCACATTCACAAGAATCAATCTCTAAAAACTTCTTCATGGTGGAGGGTCAAGAGGAAACTACACAGTCCCTCTGGGCCACAATGGCCCCTCTTTATTGGTCTGACTTTCTATCATAGATACAAATACCCAAATGAGGCTCCTGACTTGACAAACTTTAAGTGTCTGGGTGTGGCTCTGCTGTGATAGCACTCAGGAGAGCTGATGACACAGGCAGAGTAAGGAAATGGGCTGAAATGGCAATATGGACAATTCGCTACCTTTTTCAACAAAAGTGTGTTAATGCTAAACACATACAAAACAAACTTCTTTTCACAAATATAAATTAAATTCAGAAGGTTATGGGGAAAATTTGGTCTCTCTCATGGCAAGTCACAGTGAGCAGCAATGCAGGAAAGACCCAGTAGCAGCACCCTCTGTGCTAAAAGACTTCAGTGAAGCTGAGCACCTATTTAAGGCTGGTGTAGGCTGGTCACCTAGAACAGGAGTAGGGACTTCCTGGGTACTATAATTATTCCAGAAATGAGGCTTCAAAGTTTGCTCAGGGGGCAGGAACCCACATTTTATGTCCAGTCACGAGTATGTCAGGGTGTCCTCTTCACAAAAAAGCAGTCTTATCTCCAAGTGGACACTATGTCAAAAATATGGCAGCTGTCCTGTATCTTTTGAGAGTAGAGAACAATAAGATGACATGCTCTTCAATATAAAAGCAAGGCACAGGCAATACTAGAAATGATTAATGAAGCCTATAGCTGGTGGGCTAATGAAAGCTGTGTTCTTCCTAGGAGGCCAGATTTCCTGCTTTAGATGCTATGGCAGTGAGATAACAGCCCCATGCATAGGTGTCAGCAACCTATGGTCTATAGGTCAATCCAGCCTGCTGTCTCATGAGCAAAGAATGAGTTAACACTTTTAAATGGTTGAGGGCAAAAAGATCAAAAGAATATACTGTGACTCACAAAAACAATATGAAATTCAGGCCAGAATCAGTGGCTCAATGCCTATAATCCCAGCACTCTGAGAGGCTAAGGGTGGATGGACTCCTTGAAACCAGCAGTTTGAGAGTAGCTTGGGCAACACAGCAAGACCTTGTCTACACACACACACACACACACACACACATATTTTTTTTTTTTTTTGAGACCAAGTCTCACTGTTATCCAGGCTGGAGTGCAGTGGCACAATCTCGCTCACTATGACCTCCACCTCTCAGATTCAAGTGATTCTCCTGCCTCAGCCTCCCAAGTAGCTGGCAATACAAAGGTATGTGCAACCATGCCTGGCCATTTTTTTTTTTTTTTTTTTTTTTTTTTTAGTAGAGATGGGGTTTCACCATGTTGGTCAGACTGGTCTCGAACTCCTGGCTCAAGTGATCCCCGTCTTGGCCTCCCAAAGTGCTGGGATTACAGGTGTGAGCCATCATGGCTGGCCTACAAAAAATTTTTAAAAATTAGCCAGGTGTGGTGGTATGTACCTACAGTCCCAGCTAATGGGGAAGCTGAGGCGGGAGGATAGCTTGAGTCTCAGTTACAGTAAGCTATGGCTACACCACTATACTCAAGTCTGGATGACAGAGCAAGACCCTGTCTCTTAAAAAAAGAAGAAATCAAATTTCTCCATCCATAAGCAGAGTCTCATTGGTACGCAGTCACATCCATCTGGTTACATACTGTCCACAGCTACTTGCATGACACAGAGTTGAACAGTGGTGATGACGCACACCTATGTGGTCTGCAAAGCCTAAGATGTTTCTAGAAAGTGTGCAAATCCCTGAGCTTGATGACTGAAGTTGGACTGCCAGAAACTTTCCAGGAATTATTTTAAAATTCAAAGTATACATATACTTAGAATAAAGAAAGCCTAGAAGAAGTTCTAGGATGGTCATGAAGTACTGGGGGGCAGCACTCAGATGAAAACCTGGGGAACACACTTGAGCCTTAGTGTTCTTCCCACTATTGTGTCACTCAAAAACCTTCCCTGAACAATCTGTCAACATATACAAGTTTTCCTCATTCCAGATCTTTGCTTTTCTTGTTGTTCTTGTCCAACTACGTCAGTACTGCTTATTTTTTATAAAAGGTACAGTTAGATAAGAAAGGAAGTCAAAACTACAGTTGAAGTTTGAGTACTCAAGAATTGTTACCCTCTTTTTCCCCTACCATCAATGCCAAGTCTGTATGATACATAATATTAAAAGTCATATTCAATGTTGCTTTGAAAATCAACAATTGTAAAAATCAATACTAGCCATCAACATGAAGGCCGAGTCAGAGGAGCTACACTACTCCCTTTAAGTTTCTGTCTGAAGGCAGCATGTCACTTACCGACTGGGATGTTTGAGGTGGTCACAGCAGTCGCATGGGAGGAATGGGAGGGCACTGTCATGGTAACAATGGTACTTGTGGGAGCTTGCGTGTGTGACACAGATCCTGAAATAAAGGAAATTCTTTCACAATAACTTCTCTGCTCACGTTACAGATTCTCAAAAACCTGGGAAAACTCTTAGAAAAAGTTAAGAGAATTTTTCTAGCCCACTGTTTTTCTCTGAGTGAAGGTGAGAAATAAAAAATTAACCCACCACTCTTGCCTCCTTTATCCTCGGTAGAAGGAAGAGCAGGGTTATCGACTTACCAGCTGTAGTCGCTGAAGGAATGGTGTTGGTTGCCAAAATAGGTGCTACTGTGGCTGCAGCCACTGGTGTGCCAGTACTGAAGATCGTTTTCTGTGAGGGAAACCCCACAACACAGTTATAAGAACGTTATCCACTGCATCCAGGCTAAACACAATCAATGCCTTCAGCATTGCCAGGCCCTCTGCACATTTTGCACATTTTTGGTTTTATCCAACAAAGTGGTACACAGGTGGTTCTCCACCTTTGATTTTACCTGAGCCATGGTATGAAGCTGCTGTTTTGGCGTCCCTAATGCAGGGTGAGATGGTAGTGTGATTCTTGTTGTGACATCTCGTGACTGGGCGGGACGCTGAATACTAATTGCTGCAGATGGTGGATGCTGGATAGACAAAGTTGGCCTACTGAAAAGATAATAAAGACACAATGCAGACAGACAAGGTCATTTACGATTTTTTGCCCGGTTACAGTCATGCAAGTTATACTTTTTCATAGGTCTATGAAGTTCAGAGTTAAACCAAGACTTGGTCTTTAATCACACCAATGATGCAAAAGGCTCACTGAGTTTGTCTCGTTTTAAAAGGCATTGATTTGTATCACAAACGGAATAAATTAACCCACAAGTTGTTCTCAGTATCCATGATGTAGTTAATCAATACTCCATAACAAACTTAAATTAATATCATTACAATAACTGCACCTCAGGTCAGGTGTGTTGGCTCACACCTATAGTCACAGTGCTTTTGGGGGCATCAAGGGCTTGTGCCCAGAAAGTCAAGGTTACAGTGAGCTATGACTGTGCCACTGCACTCCAGCCTGGGGGAGAGAGTAAGACCCTGTCTACATAAAAAAATAAAATAATTGCACTTAACTCTGTGGATAAATCTGAAAATATACTATAAATTTTTATACTGTAAGTTTTTGACCAATTTCCTTAAGAAATTAAGATCACAATTTTGATTAGCAGCTTAAACTATAACCCTTGAAGCACAGACCTTCCTCCCAATTTTATATCATTCCTTACCAAATGTAAGAACATTCTTGAAATGATAAAAAGTTACAATTATGACTGACTCAGGATTGGAAGGGAAATCAACAGAAGATGCCAAATTAATTGGTAGCAAGCTACTGAAACAGCAACACTGGCAAGAGAATTTGAAAATATAATAAAGTTGGCTATTCAAATCAGAGGGAAGGCCACATGCAGCAGCTCACACTGGTAATCCCAGCAGGAGGACCGCTTGAGCCCCGGAGGCCAAGTCTAAAGTGAGCTGTGATTGCATCACTGCAGTCCAGCCTGGGCCACAGGGTGAGACCCTGCCTCCAATAAAATAAAATGCAAAAAAATCACTTCAAGTTACAGTCAAACACATTGCCACTCTGTTTAGTGGGATCTAGCCCAAGGACAAAAAGAGCTGTGAAGATAGTTACTTAGTATTCTTATTGTTAGCAGTAACCTACAAAAAGCAAGAGGTTAATTTATGACAAATGGACAAATGATACAGGTGCTTCTTTTAAAAAAAAATACTTTATACTGTATTTTTTTTTTTTTTTTTTTAGTTAAACAATCATGTTTGTTGCTTTAGCACACAGACAAATTGATGCAACCAGGGCAGAGGCTGTAGATGATTCATATTTCCAATTGGGAGGGAGGACTCGCTTAGTCTTATAATACCGAGCCAAACGATGAATCCGGCTCTCTATCAGAATCAGACGGAATTTAGCATCCTTATCCTTTCTGTTCCTCTCAAGATGCTTTCGAACAGCGATTGCTTTCTTAATTAAATGGTAAAGATCTTCAGGGAGATCAGGAGCAAGTCCCTTAGACTTAAGGATTCTTAAGATTTTATTGCCTGTCACAAAACGTACTTGTGCGACGCCATGTGAATCTCTCAGGATCACACTGATTTGTGAAGGAGTCAGGCCCTTCTTGGCCAGTTTGTAAATCTGCTCCTTCAGCCACGTGGGGACGCTACGGCGATAGGGCAAAGCCGACTGGGACAGGCCCTTCCCGGGAGCATGCATACGACCCATGATGGCAGCGGTCAGGCAGCGAAAGGAAGGGTATACTGTATTTTTACTACACCTTTTCTGTATTTAGATATACAAATACCACAGTGTTACAACCGTGAACAGTACTCCGTACAGTAACGCGCTGTATAGGTTTACATACTAGGAGCAATAGTTTTAGCACCATAGCCTCGGTGTGTAGCAGGTGACACCATCTAGGTTTGTGTTAAGTATACTCTATGATGTTTGCATGTCAAAACTGCTACCTATTCATTTTTCAGACTGCATCCCCTTCATTAAGTAATGAATGAGTGTAAAATCTTAGAAAGCAAAAAAAAAAAAAAAAAGGGTAATGTTACATTTCATTTATAAATACCAATATGTATCCATTACCAGTGGAGGAGTGAAAAAAATTTTTTTTTTTTCTTTTTGAGACAGAGTCTCACTCTGTTGCCAGGCTGGAGTGCAGTGGTGTAATCTCGGCTCACTGCAACCTCCACCTCCCAGGTTCAAGCAATTCTCCAGGATTCTCCTGTCTTGGCCTCCCAAGTAGCTGGGACTACAGGCACGCACCACCACACCCAGCTAACTTTTGTATTTTTAGTAGAGATGGGGTTTCACCATGTTGGCCAGGATGGTCTCGATCTCTTGATCTTGTGATCCAACTGCCTTGGCTTCCCAAGGTGTTGGGATTACAGGTGTGAGCCACCGCGCCTGGCCAAAAATTTTTAATTAATATAAGATTTTAAAACAGGTGGTGGCTCATGTCTGTAATCCCAGCATTTTGGGAAGCTGAGGCGGGCGGATCATCTGAGGTCAGGAGTTCAAGACCAGTCTGGCCAACATGGTGAAACCCCATCTCTACCAAAAATAAAAAAAATAAGCCAGGCATGGTGGTACACACCTGTAATCCCAGCTACTTGGGAGGCTAAGGCAGGAGAATTCCTTGAATCCAGGAGACGGAAATTGCAGTGAGCTGAGATCACGCCACTGCACTCCAGCTTGGGTGACGGAGCAAGACTGTATCTCAAAGAAAAAAAAAAGAAACAACATTCTGAGGCTGGGTACAGTGGGTCATGCCCATAAACTCTAGCACTTTGGGAGCTGAGGCAGGAGGACTGCTTGAGCCCAGGAATTTGAGACCAGCTTGAGAAACATGGCAAGGCCCAGTCTCTATGAAAAGTAAAACAATTAAGCAATTGTAAAAATTAGAAATTAAGCAAAAAGTAAAACTATCTTGGTGCACACCTATAGTCCCCGGTACTCAGGAGGCTGAGGCGGGAGGACAGCTTAAACCCCAGAAGTCAAGGAGGAGCTGTGACTGCACCACTGCAACCTTGATCTCTGGGGTTCAAGCTGTCCTCCCACCTCTGCCTCCTGAGTATCTGGGACTATAGGTGTGCATCAAGATGTGATTCAGCCTACGTGACAGAGTGAGACCTTGTGTCAAAAAACAAAAGACAACAACAAAAAAAACCCACTCTGAATATTTAATGTCTACAGTTCCATAGGAACCCACCCCCACACACCAAAAACAGAGGGATTAAGTAACGTGCTCCCTATTCTGTTGTCTTAATCACCATATTACAGGTTGAGTATGCCTTATCTAAAATGTTTGGGATGAGAAGTGTTTCAGATTTCAGAATTATATACTTACTGGTTCAGCAACCCTAATCCAAAAATCAGAAATGCTTCAACGAACATCTTCTTTGAGTGTCAAGTCAGTCCTCAAAAAGTTTCCAATTTTGGCGTATTATGGATTTTGGTTTAGGGATACCCAACTGTGTACTTCTCCCACAGATCAGTTTTTTTTCTTGTTAATAACCTGAAAGGTAACTCCACCGATAGAGCACCAATTCAGTGATCTGACATTTACAGAAAATACAGGGGTTAAATTACAAACAGACTTGTGATTATCCTCCAGTGTTCAGATGGGTCCTTGCATGACTGACTTATTTGGAGGACAACAGTATTGTAGGCAGAGACTACCAGTGAAGCATTTTTTCCTTCTCCTCTCAGAGAATAGTAAGGAAAACAAAAAAGAGAAATACAGTGCCCTCCTTTTGCAAAATTAGGAGATATCTGAAACCTGAAACCACAGGACAGCAGAACTGCCAAAGGTAGGGATAAACAAACAGGAACTCAGGTGCCAATGAAGGGAGGATTTCTTTCTTTCTCCCCACTTTAAAAAAAAAAAAAGAGAGAGAGAGAGAGAGAGATAAGAGTATCACTAAATTCTCACTATGTTGCTCAGGCTGGTCTTGAACTCCTGGGCTCAGACAATCCTCCTGCCCCAGCCTCCCAAAGTGCTAGGATTACAGACATGAGCTACCATGCCCAGCCTGAACAGAGAATTTCTGGGGCTACAATTTTAGGGATAAAATCCAGCAATTAAATATAAAGCTCCAAAATGAGAAGCACACACTGACAGAGAAAACCAAAATCGTTTGTGTAACAGTGGGAGTGGAGCGGGCAGTGAAGCAGTATCGGACCAGTTTCAAGAGTTAAAAAGCAAAAGATCTAGGATTAAACTAGGAGTCACACAAATACAGATAAGCCCCATCTGTGGGGAACAGTGTGAGGGGGACCCAAGGAAGAGAGGCTTTGCCATTTCAAGTGGTCTATTTTCACTGACAGGAGTAAAGTAATGGCCAACAAAATTCAAACACAGGACACTGGGTCATTTAGAAAATTTCTCCAAACTCGGTACATAGTCCAGGCTACAACAAGAACCAATTACAAACAGGGGATCCAGAATAAAGTCAATCCAATCAAGGATGAATACTCAGAAAGGAATCAACACAGGATCTACTGAAAGATGCTAAAACACAAAAGGTGGAATGAAACACACCAGAAGTGCTTTCACTAGACAGATGAACACTGTACCATGAATTAAAAAACTTAATGAAGTAACTGCTTCTATGAAATGAAAACACAAAGCGAACACATAAGAGCTCCCTGGAAATGATGGGAGAAGAACAGAAGACAAAATATATGGGCAGGGCTCAAGAGAGAAACAGAAGACAACTGCTCAGCAGTTTCAGGAATGAAGGCAAAATTAGAAGTGGAACATGAGAGAGAATGCTGAAAATCAGTCAAGGAGGGAGAAGACTACGAAAACAACATTAAAGGGAACAGATAAAAAAATTACGCAATAGTGCAAAAAGATTCAACACATAATTAGGTGCTCCTCTCATAAAATGGAATAGAATGAATACATAAACATGTAACTGGCCAGGCGTGGAGGCTCATGCCTGTAATCCCAACACTTTGGGTGGCTGAGACAGGCAGATCATCTTGAGGTCAGGAGTTCAAGACCAACCTGGCTAACATGGCAAAACCCTATCTCTACTAAAAGTACAAAAATTAGCTGAGGGTGGTAGTGTGTGCCTGTAATCCCAGCTACTCGGAAGGCTGCGGTGGGAGAATCGCTTGATTGCTTGAATGGTGTGGGGGAAAAATGGCAGGATGGGGCAAGGAGGTGGCAGGCGGCAGATGTTGCAGTGAGTGGAGATTGCACCACTACACTCCAGCCTGGGCGACAGAGCAAGACTCGGTCTCAAAAAAAAAAAAAAAAAAAGATGTAACAAAAACTGTTCATAAATATGTTCATAAATATAGTGTTTTTGTTTTTGTTTAGAGATGGAGCCTCACTCTGTCACCCAAGCTGGAGTGCAGTGGTGCGATCTCAGCTCACTGCAACCTCCACCTCCTGGGTTCAAGTGATTCTCCCATCTCAGCCTCCCGAATAGCTGGGATTACAGGCATCCGGCCCCACTCCCGGCTGACAGATGGGGTTTCAACATGTTGGCCAGGCTGGTCTCAAACTCCTGACCTCAAGTGATCCACCTCCCTCATTCTCCCAGAGTGCTGGGATTATATGCATGAGCCACTGTGCCTGGCCGATAAATACAGTTTTATGCTCCAGATTGAAAAGGCACACCATGTTTAGAACAAAACCAAAAATAACTGTCATTACAAAATGCATGCTATTAAATTTGCTGAAATTCAATGAAAAATAATCAGGCAATGAGACAAAAAGACCCAGGCCTTCGTAAGGGGTTAAGGGGTTTAAAAAAAAAAAAAAAAAAAAAAACAGGCTCTGTGCAGTAACATCCAGATCTAGGAGACAGGGAAAAATTACCCATCAAGTAATTATGGAAAGAATATGGAAACAACAAAAACACTCAATTGGCCAAACTATTGCCTAACCTTAAATGGGAAATGATTCTCAGCAGTAAATTTTCAAAATGTTCGTGCTTTAAGATACGCCTTTTTTGAAGAAAGTAACAGAAAATAAACTTCATTTAACCAAATAATGACTGAAAAGACAAGGGTCAAAGAACTGACAGACTGAATGTATTTACAGCAGAAAAGATATTACTTAGATTTTTCTGGAATTTTACTTTTTTTTCTATACCTTGAACCAGTTTCATTATCACTGGTTTATCTGGCCCCTTTGAGAGTTTGGTAGAATTCTATGAAAACAAGGCTGGGTATGGTGGCTCACACCTATAATCCCAGCACTTTGGGAGGCTGAGGCAGGTGGATTGCTTGAGCCCAGGAGTTTGCCAACAGCCTGGGCAACAGAGGGAGGCACTGTCTCTACAAGCCATTTTAACATTAGCCAGGCATGGCGGCATGTGCCTGTAGTCCCACAGCTTTGGGAAGTTGAGGTAGGAGGATCACTTGGGCCTGGAAGATCGAGGCTGCAGCCATGATCGAGCCACTTCACTCCAGCCTTATCTCAAAAAAAGAATTCTACGAAACCAGCTGGACCTGGTGCTTTCATGAGAGATAGTGCTTAAAATTTTTTCTATTTCTTCTATGGAAATTGGTCTGCTGAAAACTTCTATCTGCAGAATTCAAAAAAGTTAGGCATTAGGAATTTATTATATAATTTAGATATAAAGAGAAAAATCATCTGATTAGGGTTTTCATCTGTTTAATTCACTACTTGTAGTATATTGCTAGTGTTATATGAGTGAAATGCTAAAAATGCTTTCAACAAAATTCAACATCCAGTTTTTTATTAAAACATTCAACACAATGGAAAAGATATTTGACAATATGATTAAAAATAAAAAGCCCACCCCTAGTTTTCATCATACAGGTGTCCCTCAGTATCCATAGATGCCACATCTGTGGATTCAGTGAAACATGGATTGAAAATATTCAAGGGAGAAAACAATTCCCCCAAATTCCAAAAAGCAAAACGTGAATTAGCTGAGCACCAAGTACTACACTGAATCCACATGAATGAAGTGATGTGTAGGCATCGTAATAGGCAATGTAAGTAAGCCAGAGATTAATAGAGTACATGGGAGGAGGTGCGTAGGTTATATGCAAATACTATGCTACTTTATATGAAGGAACTTGAGCATCCTTGGATTTCAGCATCTGCAGGGGTTCCTGGAGCCAAGACCCCACAGATAGAGATGACTGTATACCCATTTACACCTTGTGAATTTCCTCATACCATCTGAATATATTAACTTTTATAACGTTAAAATGTGTACCAAGTAGTTGATTTTATGTTGGGTAGTTTTGTCTCTTTGTACCTCAGGCAACATATTTATTAATAACTGCCACAGAGTAAACTATCCCATTTATGGAAGAGAGAACAAAGGATCGGGGAGTTGAAAACCTGCTTAATGTCACACAAATAGATAATGGAGCTAATAGCTAAAGGTAAGTTTCAGGCACTGGTTCATTTAAACATAATTTTCTTCAGAGTTCTGTTCTGGGTCCTATTCTCACTCTCTAGTACCCTTGGGGAGACACCTGAGGCCTTCATTGTGGTCCATGCACTGATCACTCCTAAACTCATTATCTCCAGTACAGACATCTCTTCAAGCACACACTGACAACAGCCACTTGGTTGTTCCACAGATAAACTCAGCATCCCAAAGGTCAAGCTTTTCTAAAACCTGCTTTCCTTACCTTGTTTTCCTTTTCATTTACTAGGACAAATAAGGAGGAAACCAAAGAGGCATCTCTGATTCCTCTTTCTTCCTTGCCATTCTGCCCTACTTCCAGCTGACAGTCAGGTCCTAGCGGTGCCCCGCTAGCTTCTAACAGTTCCTTTCTCCATGCCCACTACTCTTGCTTTGATTCAGTGAATCCCTTCTTGTTTGCGCTACTGCCAAAGGCTCCCTTCCCTCCATATACCAATGGCAACAATCAACTGCCCTCCCCAACTTCCCCATAATATGACTTAAAAATCATAAGGAAAAACACCATGATGTCATCCCTGATTGTGTCACTCACAAAAAGCCTTTAAGATCATCCCTCATCAACCAGACTTTATCCCTGTATGGCTCTGCAAATATTGGTTCCTTTTTGTTTTTTTTTAGAGACAGGATCTCACTCTGTTGCCCAGGCTAGAAAGTAGTGGCACAATCATACCTCATAGTGATCTCAAACTCCTGGGCTCAAATGATCCTCCCACTTCAGCCTCCAAGTACCCAGAGCTATAGGTACACGCCACCACACTTATCTTTTTTTTTTTTAAGAAATGGGATCTTGGTATGTTACTGAGGCTGGTCTTGAACTCCTGGCCTCAAGCCATCTTCCCATGCTGGCTTCCAAAAGCACAGGGTTACAGGCATGAGCTACTGCAACCAGCCTAAATCCTTTTCCTTTTTTGGGGGGGAGGGGTGGAGATGAGGTCTCACTCTGTCACCCCAGCTGGAATGCAGTGACACAAAATCACAGCTCACTATAGCCTCAGCCTCTGGGGCTCAAGCGATCCTCCCACCTCAGCCTCCCATGTAGCTGGGACTAGAAGTACAAACCACCACGCCTGGCTACTTTTTTATTTTTTATAGAGATGGGATTTCCCTATGTTGCCCAGGCTGGTCTCAAACTCCTGGACTCAAGTGATCCTCCTGCCTCAGCCTCCCAAAGTGCTGAGATTACAGGCATGAGCAACTATATCTTGCCATCACAACCTTAAAATGCCTAAAATCAAAGTATAAAACTCCTCTCCCAAACCTCCCACTCTCCTCCATCCTGTTAGATATATAGACCAACTAGCACTGGCAAATAATCCTGACCCCGCTTCTCCTCTCACACCACCCCACACCCCCCACCCCGTGCCCCAATGATTCCTCAGAAATCTTTTTTTTTTTTTTAAAGCCAGTCAAATTTAGGAGTGGGGGGTTGTATACCAACTTTAGTGACACTAGTGTTAATAAGTTCTGATAACCCACTACCATTGGACCAGCCAGAAATCTTCTTGACTCTATCCTTCAATATCTACCCAGGGCCAGGCGTGGCAGTTCATGCCTGTAATCCCAGCACTTAGGGAGACAGGAGGATCACTTAAGTCCAGGAGTTCGCAGCCAACCTGGGCAACAAAGTGAGAGCCTGTCTCTACAAAAAAATTAAGAAATTAGTTAGGCGTGGTGGCATACATCTGGAGTTCCAGCTACTTGGGAGGCTGAAGCAAAAGGATCACTTGAGCCTGAGAGCTTGAAGCTGCAGTGAGTCATGACTGTGCCACTGCACTTCAGCCTGGGTGACAGAGCGAGACCCTATCTCCAAAAAATAATAATAGTTTACCCAGAATCTAACCATGTCTTTCTACAACCATCTTCATCTCTCCTAGATGCCGGCCATACCCTTCTACGTCTCTGCCTCTAACTTTGCCTCTCCACAGCCTATTCTACCTAGAAACCAGGCTGGGCCAACTGAAACTTCAGATCATCGTGTTGCTCTGCTGAAAACTCTGCTAAGGCTTCCCATCATGCCCCAGCCGAGTCCATGTTCTTAGCGTGGGTCCTAAGGGCCTATGTGATCTGGAGACCCTGCACTTCCCCTAAACTCTTGCCACCTTGGCTTAATTGCTGCTCCTTATAAACAGCAAACACAATTCTGTCTCAGAGCCTTTGCAATTACTGTTCCCACTGCCTAGGCTGGTATTCCCTCAGATAACCATATAGCTCACTTATTTTCTGCTCAAATGTATTGTTATCAACAAAGCTCTCTTCGACCACATTATATGAAATGGTAAATCCCCTGCACCACCCACTCTATTACTCCCTTTACCCTTATTTTTTTCCAAGGCACTTTTCACCATCTAAAAAGTCACATATTTATTGTGTCTCCAGCCCCTAAAAACAGAAACTCTCTGTGGGCAGGAATTTATTTGTTCACAGCTTTAGCCCCAGGATTTAAAGCACTATATAACTCATTAAAAAAAGCGCCACTCAATAAATATTCACTGAAATGAATGAATAAAGGAAAAAAGAGTGAAGGAGGAGGACCAGCAGGAAGGCTCAAACTTCATACTCCCGTGTATACCTCAGTGCTGAATCAGTAGCATGTGCTGCTGTCGTAGTGATGACTGGAGACTGGGCTCTGGTGGCTGAGACAGTTGCTACCACAGCAGGAGGGATGGCATTGGAGGTGGTTACAGGCGGCCGAGACTACCAAGAGAAAAAACAGTTCATTTAAAACAAAAATAAAAGGAAATGTAGGAAGCCAAATACTAAATGTATAATTTGAAACTTGAGCCTACAGATAAGTATGTTTCTGTTCAAGTAAAAATAAATTCTCACCATTCCAATTAAGGAATTCTCTTTTCAGATAGGTTGTTATAAGACCAAGAGACAGGCTGGGCGCAGTGGCTCATGCCTGTAATCCCAGCACTTTGGGAGGCCGAGGCGGGCGGATCACCTGAGGTCAGGAATTCGAGACCAGCCTGGCTAACATGGTGAAACCCCATTTCTACTAAAAACAAAACAAAAAAAATCAGCTAGGTGTGGTGGTGTGTGCCTATAATCCCATGATCCCAGCTACTCGGGAGGCTGAGGCAGGAGTATCGCTGGAACCCGGAAGGCGGAGGTTGCAGTGAGCCGAGATCATGCCACTGCACTCCAACCTGGGCAACAAGAGCAAAACTCCATCTCAAAACAAACAAACAAACAAAAAAACCTCTGAATCATCAAAAATACCCCTTATTAAGATAACTTTAAAAAGTGTTCTGAAAAAATAAAGCCCATTTTGACTGAACAGTACACGAGTCTCTCCTCTGCAAACATGATTGGAGTCAAAATTCTGCCCTACTATTGGTACCACTGGGATCTCACCCGTCAATCTACAGTTGCCACAGGTCTGTTGTTGGTCTTGGTGTAAACGTTTCACACTTCCATCCAACCCAGCACCTTCCACAGAGGGCCTACTGTCTCTCAGGCCATCTAAGTTTGTGAGTATAAGGCCAACTCAGGGTAACAGTATTCTTTTCTAGGTAACAGTTCAGGGTGCCCACATGCTTTCTGTATGTTTTCATGTGGACAGAGTGCCCTTATCACATTTACATGTGGAATGTTCTTCTGAAAAATAAGCTGCACACGGGCTTCATTCACTTATCCACCGTTATTCTTCAAATCACCTGAGCTCTGATTCTTCCCTCACTCTTAACCTTGAAACTTGCATCTAAATCTAAACCAAACTTTACCTATTCCTCATCCTTGCTTTTCATCTGTAGCCCTTTTCCATGCTACTCCTTCCACGTGCAGCTGCGTATCTCACAATAGGGCTACCGCACCAGCTTCCTCACTTGGGAGCTCCCTCTTGGTTCTCGTCCTCCTCTATCCCTTCATATATATCATGCGTACTACTGGAGGCCTAATACTCCTCTGACTGTGTTTTCTTGGCCAGCAAGGTCTTTTAGTTTATCCTGAAAGCTGTAGGCTAAAGATACTACCTAGTGACATAATCAATACTCTTATTATCTTAAACCCAGTTGTTTCACACATCTGTCTATCCCCTGAAAGTGCTTAAGGGGACAGACCCTCTGCATGTGATTCAGCTAGATTACTACTATTATTGTGTGAGATGGAGTCTCACTCTGTCCTCCAAGCTGGAGTGCAGTGGCACAATCTTGGCTCAATGCAACCTCTGCCTCTTGGGCTCAAGGGATTCTCCCACCTCAGCCTCCTGAGTAGCTGGGATTACAGGCGCATGCCATCATGCCTGGCTAATGTTTTTGTATTTTAGTGGAGGTGGGGTTTCACCATGTTGCCCAGGGTGGTTTCAAACTCCTAAGCCTAGACAATCCACCGGCCTCAGCCTCCCAAAGTGCTGGAACTACAAGCGTGAGCCACTGCACTGGCCTAATCTCATCATTCAACAATTACTTCAATGATACACAGAGCCATTATGTTAAAAAAACAAAAACAATCTTTGGTCAGCCATGGTGGCTCACACCTATAATCCCACCAGTTTATGAGGCCGAGGCAGGCAGATGACTTGAGGTTAGGAGTTCAAGACCAGTCTGGCCAACATGATAAAACCCTGTCTCTACCACAAGTACAAAAATTAGTTGGGCATAGTGGCGCAAGCCTATAATCCCACATACTTGGGAGGCTGAAGCAGGAGAATCGCTTGAACCCGGGAGGCAGAGGTTGCAGTGAGCTGGCATCACACCACTGCACTTCAGCCTGGGCAAGAGTGAGACTCTGCCTCAAAAAAAACACAGTGGCTCTCGCTACTGTATTATTTATAGTATATAGTTTATACTCCATATCCTAGAGAACCTAATTTACAGATACTGTACTTCCTGCAAATACATTATACTTCAATAGTAATGAGGCCATAGATTTCCTTGAAAAAAAACTGAAAGGCATGGACCATCTTCTTGAAACATACATGCATATATGCATAACTTTCAGGAATCCACAGACCCCCACTATACAAATTAAAATCCCTCAATCCTAGCTGGCCTTTACTACTTGCTGTCTATAACTATCACTCCCTTCCCTGCCACTGTTCATTTTCCCCTTCACTTCTTCTTCACTCTCTGCATCCTCATTAGCACAGCCTTTCCAATACGAAGCCTTCGCACCACCTCTCTTCTGTGTTCTTACAGCCTGCCACACGACACTGTGCATCTTTCAAATTTCCCTGTGTTTTGGCAACTAGATGGAAAGTCCCTGAGGTCAAGATGTGCCCAGTGCCTGGCAGAGTGAATAACTCCAATGAGGCCCTTAATGCACCCCAGGCTCTGACGTGCCTGGATTGGTTGGTGAATGATGTGCTGTACTGCTGGCTGAGCAGTAGCAGCATTTGGCAGCTGCGAGGTCGGCCTCAGGACTGTGGTTACTTTAGAACTGGACATCACGGCAGCAGCTGCTGCACCTGAAAAAAAAAAGTATTTATTATATTTATTCTAGTTATATTCCCCAGGAAAATCATCAACGTAATTCCTAAAATTCAGATAGCATTTCCGTACTGACCTGAAGTATGGCATGTATACTTCCCATTTAATCACAGAGAAAATGAAGAAAATGTGTATTCAGGAGATTTAGTAATAATTTATACTGCCTCTTCAAAGACAATCTTAAGTGAAACTAGCTGCTGCTTTCTGTTTCTTTTGTGTTACTGCAAATGCGCACAGTGGTAAGGCACACAGCGAACAGCAGTGTGATGCCACTGCCTCAGCTCTGACAAGGGCTTGAGCACTTTGCCTACCGCTGTGTTTGTTCCATCAGAACAGATGCCAACATTGTGAAAGGGACACATTATGAACCCTAACCTTAACCCTAACCCTACCCTGCAGTTTTGACCCTGCAGACCCCCATAAGGGCCTGTGAACCATATTTGCAGAACCACTGAATTATGATATAACCAAGCAAACCTGGTCTTGTGTTTGCTAACTTGATTTTGCCAATTGTTTTACACTCTCCAATAAAAGGTAATAATTTCTAGTCAAAACTCATTTATTATCTTACAGAACTTAAGGGTAAAAATAAATTAATCTTAGCCAGTGTGGTGGCTCACACCTGTAGTCCTAGCCACTCAGGAGGCTAAAGGGGTAAGATCACTGTGCCTGAGAAGTTTGAGACCAGCTTGGGTAACACAGTAAGACCTGTCTCAAAAAATAATTATCATCATCATCATCTTATTGCTATGTAAGTTAAAAAACTGAGTAAAGATCATCATTGAACTTTAAAAATATTCAGTATTAATATTTGTGACTATTAAAAATGAGGACTATACACAGTCTAATAATAATAAAAACCATGTTGAGATTACCATAGCTTGGGGAGTTCCTCAATGTAAAGGACAATTTTAGAGCATATTAAACATCTTAATTGCGTAAGTATACACACCTGTAAAGCAACTATAATTAAGCACATATTATACCATGCTAAAAACATGTATTGCTCCAAGTTTATTTCTACTGTCTTGCAATTCTTTTTTCTTTTTCTTGAGACAGGTTCTTGCTCTGTCACCCAGGCTGGAGTGCAGCGGCACAATCCCAACTCATTTCAACCTCTGCCTTTGCGGCTCAAGCCATCCTCCCAACTAAGCCTCCTGAGTAGCTGGGATTACAGACGCATGCCACCACACCTGGCTAGTTTTTTATATTTTTGTAGAGACAGGGTTTTGCCACGTTGCCCAGGCTGGTCTCAAACTCTGGACTCAAGTGAACCTCCCACCTAAGCCTCCCAAAGTGTTGGGTTTATAGGCATGAACCACAGTGCCCAGCCTTTTTGTCTTTTGAAATAAAAGAGATTTACTTGGTTCCGGTTCTGCAGACTGTTGTCCTGCAACTTTAACAAGCTGATTCTACATACATTCTATGTTATATATTTTACCAAATAAATATCTGTTACTGCATTTCGAGAGTTTGAACAAAACTCACGGCCTTTACCTCGAGGTAAATGAGAAGCTCCAATGTGAAGAGGGGGCCCAGGAGCATTGCTGCGGATGATAGACATCTGTACATTTGTAGTCATGATGTGATGCAGGTTACTGGGATGTCCCTGAAAGAAAGAGGATAGAATGTTATTTTCACATGTTTGGTCTTAGCCATTGCCTCTAGGAAGTCACCTGCCTCCAAATGTGGGTCAGGTTGTTCCTTTTAGATAGTGAGTATCCCAAGGGAAAGGGCTAAGGGCATTTAGCTTGAGCTACTTTTATAAGCCATACTGTATTATAGGCATGTGAGGAGTATGAGGACCCCACAACTGCTGCAGGCCCAAATAATAACAGGTAACATATTTTGATATCTACTTTTAGAAACTCTCATCTGCAATATTAGCTTTCACACTTGTTTTCTCCATCCTGGACAAATGCTTATTTTTTCCCATTCTCACTATTTCCTTTACGTACTGCTGCACCCATCCGTTCTTTAAGCTTTATGGTTGCTAAGTAAATGTCAGCTAGCATCTCCAACAGGTGCTCCCCTACCAGTTTGTCAGCTCAACCCTGAAACGTCCCTTAAATTCTCCCAAACCACAGTGGTCAGTGCTTCTCAGCTAACGGTTCTGGTACTTCTGAGAGTACTCAGCAGTATGACAAAAGGAAAAAAACAGTACACCTCTTTGGGACATAACTTCTTCTTGAAAATGTGAAGGGAAAGTTTTTGATTTAGGTTTTTTCCCAGGTAAATAATTAAAAATATTTAATAAGAAGTACACAGCAGGGTAGGATTGCAAAATTTCACAAAAAAACCTTAAAACAGGAGACTTCAAAATAAATGTTTGCAACTAAGGCTGGGTGCAGTGGCTCATGCCTATAATCCCAGCACTTGAGAGGCTGAGGCAGGTTGATCACCTGAGGTCAGGAGTTGGAGACCAGCCTGACCAACATGGTGAAACCCTGTCTCTACTAAAATACAAAAATTAACCAGGCATAGTGGTGCACACCTGTAATCCCAGCTACTCGGGAGGCTGAGGCGAGGGAATCACTTGAACACGGGAGGTAGAGGTTACAGTGAGCCAAGATCATGCCATTGCACTCCAGCCTGGGTGATAGAGAGAGACTCTGTCTCAAAAAAAAAAAAAAAAAAAAAAAAAAGTTTGCAACTGGATATCTGCTTGAGGTAACCTACCAGTATCCCATGAGATGCACCTCTGTGCTCCTCAGAGAAACCACAGAGAAGCACTGCCCACCACTACCCCTAGGAGGCTGTTCTTGACACTAAAACCAAACACAAACCGGACTCCAGACTCCTCAAGGACACAGACTATTTTACCTAGATTTACATATCACACTGAGGGTCAAGCCGAGCATATAGTAGCTGCTCAATAAATTCTGGCTAAATGACCACTATGGATACTGGCTTCTACTCCCTACAGTTATCCTTCTCTCTCAAACCTATTTTCCCTTGCAGGTATTGGTGACTGTTTAATTTTTTTATTACTGTGCCTAATTTACTGCTAGCATTCAATAAATCATGATCAACAGTTTGGCATTTCAGTTTGAAAATCAGCAAATTAAAAGGAAGAAAAACCTGTTGTCCACTGATTGTTGCCACAGGAATGGCTGAAGCCTGAGGGATGCTACTCTCCATTGTAACAGTAACCTGCCCTGGAACCTTGGGCGGAAGTGACAGGGTAGAAGGTGGAGCAGGAGCAATGGGACGGCTAGGCATGGTGGGCTTCGGGGGTGGCTGCAAAGAGAAAACCACACAAAACATATCAATGGTGTCGTACTGGTAATGCATTTCAATCCACAATTAAAAGTACACAAATCGAATCTGCAGAGTGGCAGGAAAGATGCTACAAGCTTTATACGTTTTATCTATTCGCATCACAGTGCTTCCATTGAAGTACTAGCATTTCTATTTCACAAATGAAGAAACATACAAAGCAAGGCTAACTAACTCATTCAAAGCCATGCACACAGTTAAGAAGTAGAACTGGGAATAAAGCCCAGAGCTGCATGGCTCACAGCCCACACCCTTTCTTCTACATGATGCTCCCTCCCAAGTTTGCATGGATTAAACAAAACTCCCAGTAACTGAAACATAACCCCAAGGTAATGCACAGGCAATATTCTCAGAAACCCCCAAATTAACCAGTTATTAAAACAAACCTTAAAGAAGAGTGCCACTCCAGTTGGCCCCACAGTACTGGGTTATTATAACTTATTAACATTAGCGTCCTCTGGACACAGTGGGTCACGCCTGTAATCCCAGCACTCTGGGAGGCTGAGGCAGGCAGATCACTTGAGGCCAGGAGTTCAAGACCAGCCTGGCCAATATGGTGAAACCCTGTCTCTACTAAAAATGCAAAAATTAGCTGGGCGCGGTGGCACCCACCTGCAATCCCAGCTACTTGGGAGGCTGAGGCAGGAGAACTACTTGAACCCAGGCGGTGGAAGTTACAGTGAGCCGAGATCACATCACTGCACTCTAGCCTGGATGGCACAGAAAGACTCCGTTTCAAAAACAAAACGAAAAACATTAGAGTCATTAAGCCCCCACTGCTGAATCTGACTGGCTTAAAAAAAAAAGGTCCCTCTCCAAGGTTGTATCTAACTTAACATGCCAGTAAGCTGAATAATATCAATATAAAAATGGTAAAAGCAAAGATCCTGTGATGCCAACTGCTCAGCAGCACAAGACGAGGCACTGCAGAAAATCAGGGCTAGGTTACAGAGAAAAGCTGAACTCATAAGCCCTAAAGAAAAAATGAAATATGATCCTAAGATACAGCCTAAGATTTTGTGCAAATTCTTACAAACATTAGCCAGTCTTTAGCTCTGGTTCAGTGTGAAGTTTTAACCTTCTCCATTACCTTCATGAGTCCCTCCGAAAATGAAAGTGGCACTGCTGGCGTCAGGTGTGCTGGCGGGGCTGTCACTGCAACAGGTGTGGCTGATGCGACAGCATGGTGTGTGGACAACATCTGCACCTGTGGATAGGGCCTTACCACAACAGGCTCTTGCTTCTCCTCCCGGGACTGGAGGGAGCTGCTGGAACTCATGTGCTCCCTGGCACTGACTTCAGAATCTCGACCAGATTCATCATTGACTAGTAAAGACATTAAGAGTGAGACAGTATGTCACAGTCTCCCAATGTAAGATAGCAGCACAGACAAGAGTGGCACCTAAAGTTAAATCTCAGGATGGACAAAGTGACCATTTCCTCGTGATGTTTTCTTAACAAGGCCAATTTGGGCACTGGATTCTCCTGATGGACTATAGACACAAGAGCCACAATTGTGTAATATAGAATTTATTCTGGATATCGTAGCTTTCACACCTTTACAAATAAACTAACTGAAAGTTATCTAAAATGAGCTGAAATAGTTAAAAGTACAATACAGGATATGACAATTTCATTTAAAACATCTTCTTAAAATGTTATAGAAGCCTGACATTAAAAAGAGATTTTGTGCTGGCCAACATGACAAAACTCCATCTCTACTAAAAAAAAAAAAAAAAAAAAAAAAAAAACAACCCAAAAACCCACTTTTTTTGTAATCCCAACTACTTAGGAGGCTGAGGTGGGAGGATCGCCTGAGCCCAAAAGGCGGAGGTTGCAGTGAGCCAAGATTGTGTCACTGCACCCTAGCCTGGGCGACAGAGGAAGCCTTTGTCTAAAAAAAAAACTTTTTGGCCAGGCGCGGTGGCTCAAGCCTGTAATCCCAGCACTTTGGGAGGCCAAGGTGGGTGGATCACGAGGTCAAGAGATCTAGACCATCCTGGTCAACATGGTGAAACCCCGTCTCTACTAAAACTACAAAAAATTAGCTGGGCATGGTGGCGCGTGCCTGTAATCCCAGCTACTCAGGAGGCTGAGGCAGGAGAATTGCCTGAACCCAGGAGGCGGAGGTTGCAGTGAGCCAACATCGCGCCATTGCACTCCAGCCTGGGTAACAAGAGCGAAACTCCGTCTCAAAAAAAAAAAACAAAAAAAACTTTTTAATGTATAGCTGGTGCAGTGGCTTGCACCTACAATCCTAACACTTTGAGAGGCCAAGGCAGGCAGATCCCTTGAACCCACGAGTTCAAGACCAGCCTTGGCAATACAGCAAGACTCTGTCTCTGTAAAATATTCAAAAATTAAATGGGCATGGTGGAATGTACCTGTAATTTCAGCTACTTTGGAGGCATAAGGAGAAGGATCACTTAACCTTGGGAGTTCAAGGCTGCAGTGAACCAAGCCATGATTGTGCTACCTGCACTCCAGCTTGGGTGAAACAGTGAGACTCTGCTTCAAAAAAAAAAAAGAAAAGGTGGTAGGGGGCTGGGCACGGCAGCTCACACTTCTAATCCTAGCACTTTAGGAAGCCAAGGTGGGCGGATCATTTGAGGTCAGGAGTTCCAGACCAGCCTGATCAACATGGTGAAACCCTGTCTCTACTAAAAATACAAAAAAATTAGTCAGACATGGTGGTACACGCCTGTAATCTAAGCTACGTGAGAAGCGGACGCAGGAGAATTGCTTGAACCTAGGAGACGGAGGTTGCAGTGAGCTGAGATTGTGCCACTGCACTCCAGCCTGGACAGGGGGCCAAGACTGCGCCACTGCACTCCAGCCTGGGCAACAGAGTGAGACTCTGTCTCAAAAAAAGAAAAAAAAGAGATATTTTAAGTACAATTCCTAACTTTAAGAACATGTAATTTTTCAAAACTGAGGGAAAGAGGAGAGAGATTTTTCACTGTATGCTCTTTTTCTTTTGGAGTTTTGGATTACCAGAAGACGTATCTATTTTAAAATTTTTTAATTTTTTCTTTTTAATTATTTTTTTGAGACAGAGTCTTGCTGTCTCCCAGGCTGGAACACAGTGGTAGAATATCAGCTCACTATAGCTTCAAACTCCTGGACTCAAGTGGTCCTCTGCTTCAGCTGCCCAGGCAGCTAAGACTACAGGCACACGCCACCACGCCTGGCTAATTTTTAAATTTTTTTACGAAGACAGGAGTTTTACTATGTTGCCCGGTATGGTCTTGAACTCCTGAGATCAAGTGTTCCTCCCGCCTCTGACCTCCCAAAGTGCTGTGATTACAGGTGTGAGCCACTGTACCTGGCCTATTTAAAAATTAAATTAAGTAATTTTTAAATACTTAAGTGGAGGCTGGGTACGGTGGCTCACACCTGTAATCCCAGCACTTTGGCAGGCCAAGGCAGGGAGATCAGATGAGGCTAGTAGTTTGAGGCCAGCCTGGACAACACGGAGAAACCATGTTGTCTCTACTAAAAATACAAAAAATAGCCAGATGTGGTGGTGCACACCTGTAATCCCAGATACTCGGGAAGCTGAGGCATGAGAATCGCTTGAGCCCAGGAGGCAGAGGTTGGGAGATCCTGCCACTGCACTCCAGCCTGGGGCACAACAGCAAGACTCAGCGTCAAAAAAAAAAAAAAAAAAAATTAAGTGGAAAAAAATTAGAGAATAATAAAGTAATAAAGGAAGAGTTTGTGAAAGTATTAACTCATACATTTTAATAATTTTTCCAAAATAATATTAACATTCTTTTTTTCTGAGCATTTACTTATGCAGAGAATTTAAATTATTTGAAATACCATAAAGAAAGTAACGTTGCCTCCAAGCTTACCCCACAAAGGCACCTACACTTAAAAGATCTGGCGACAGTTCCCACTTCTTTTAAATTTTGGGTGGGTTTTTACTCTTTTGAATTTTTTTCCTTAAAGTATGATCTTCATAAAGGTAAGTACACATATATTAGTTGTGCAATTTCATATGAAAGTTGAAATTTCATAAACTGAATATACCTAAGTAAATAGCACCCAGCTCAAGACAGAAAACATTATTAGTCCCCCAGAGATTCTTAGTTTGGCCCTATTCTAGTTACTGTCCTCCCAAGGAAACCAATCTCCTAACTTGTAACACTATAGATTAGTATTGTCTGTTTTTGAACTTTATATAAACAGACTTATAACAAATACACTCAATTGTGCTTTGCCTCTTTCACTGACAGGTATGAAAGTCATCCACATTAGTGTATACAGCTGTAGCTCTTTCATTCTCAATGCTGTATATAGTACGACATGTGAGTAATGTACAAATTATACATTTTACTCTTGAGACACTTTAAATAGTTTTCATTTTTTTCCTATTTTGAGTAATGCTAATAATATTCTTGTACATGTATTTTGATGAACCTATGTACCACTTCTAATCAATATACGCCTAGGAGTGGAACTACCGAGTAGAGAATACTGCATCATTCTTTAAAGGTGAAATGGAGCCAGGCGCAGTGGCTCACGCCTATTATCCCAGCACTTTGGGAGGCTGAGGCAGGCAGATCACCTGAGGGCAGGAGTTCAAGACTAGCCTGGCCAACATGGTGAAACCCTGTCTCTACAAAAATACAAAAATTAGCCAGGCATGATGGCTGGTGCCTATAATCCCACCTACTCGGAAGGCTGAAGCAGAAGAATCGCTTGAACCTGGGAGGCAGAGGTTACTGCGAGCTGAGATTGTGCCATAGCACTCCAGTCTGGGCGAAGAGCAAGACTCTCCTCTCAAAAAAAGAAAAAAAAAGGTAAAATGAGATTCTATTGTATAGATGTACTACAGCTTTTTAAAAATCACTGTATCATTAATGGTCTTTTAGGTTATTTCCAAATTTTTGCTTTTAGCAACAACCTTGTCTAGTGATCTCTTCAGGAAAAAAATGTCTAAAAAGTACAAGTGTTGATGAAAAGACTGATGTACATTTTCTTTTTTGCTATATATTAACTTTTCTCCCAGATGATTAAAACCTCTTTATCGCTGGGCGTGGTGGCTCACACCTGTAATCCCAGCACTTTGGGAGGCTGAGGTGGGTGCCTCACCTGAGGTCAGTAGTTTGAGACCAGCTTGGCCAACATAGTGAAACCCCGTCTCCACTAAAGACACAAAAAATTAGTTGGGTGTGGTGGGAGGCACCTGTAATCCCAGCTATTAGGGAGGCTAAGGCAGGATAATCACTTGAACTTGGGGGTGGGGGGGTGGCGTGGAGGTTGCAGTGAGCTGAGATCACGCCATTGCACTCCAGCCAGGGTAACAAGAGCGAAATTCCATCTCAAAAATAAAAACCTCTTTACTGAGGAATAAATTACACAGAGTAACATCACTGTTTTACAAGAAAAGTTCAGTAATATTTTTATGAACATCCTCAGCAACACCAAAGAGCAGAATGGTTGGGTAAAATGGTAAGCACATCTTTAACTTTGCCAAAGTACTTTCCAGAGCAGTTGTAGCACTGTCTGTTCCCATTAGCAGTATACAAGAGTTCTAGCTGCTCCTCTTCCTTACTCATGTTTGATATACAGCCATTCTAGTGGGTTGTGGTGCGTGTCTCACTGTAGTTTTATTTAGCATTTCCGTGATGACTAGTAATGTTCAACATCTTTTTATGTAATCACAGCCCATTCATATATATCTTCTTTAGTGAAGCGCGTGTTTATCTTTCGTCCATTTTAATCAATTAGCTTTACTGAGGTACAATTTACATATAAAATTCGCTAATTCTTTGTGTAACATTAGATAAGTGTTCACAAAAGTATACAGTGGTATAACACAATCATGATACAGATCATTTCCTGTTACTCCAACAAGTTCATTCATACCCCTTTGTAGTCAATTCCCTCCCTCCCACCTCTATTCCCCAGAAACCACTGATGTGCTTTCTGTCACTATGGCGTAGTCTTTTCTGGAATTTCATATCATAGAATTACATCACCTATAGTCCTATGTATCTGGATTCTCTCCTTAGTGTAATATTTCTGAGGTTTATCCATAATGTTGTGAGTATTGGTAGTCTGATCCTTTTTTTTTTTTTTTTTTGCCAAGTAGCATTCCACTGCATGGATGGATATACTACAATTTACTTATCCAGTTACCAGCTGATACGCATTTGGACTTCTCTCCTGTTTTGGCTATTATTAATAAAGCTTCTACGAACATGTGAGTAAAGTCCTTGTATAAATATACACTTTCATTTACCTTTGATAAATACCTGTGGAATGAGATTGCTCAGTGATGTGGTAAGTGTATATTTAATAAGATATTGCCAAATTGTTTCTTGAAGTGGCTAGGCCATTTTGCATTACCAACAATAAAATATGAGTTCTATTGGTGCCACAACCATACCAACATTTGGTATTCTCAGTCTTTCTAATTTAGGCTTTCTACTCGATGTGCAGTAGTTTCTCACAGTGGCTTTAACTTGCACTGCCCTGAGGATTAATAATGGTGAACATATTTTCATGTGCTTCTTTGGCACTCATCTAGGTCTACTCAAATATTTTCTCGTTTTAAAAAAAATCAGGTCGTTTGTCTTTTTACTGAGTTATAAGTTCTTATTTTTTTCCTGGAGACAGGATCTCACTCCGTCACCCAGGCTGGGGTGCAGTGGTATAATCTCAGGTCACTGCAACCTCCGCTTCCCAGGCTCAAGTGATCCTCCCACTTCAGCCTCTCAAGTGGCTGGTACTATAGGCATGAGCCATCACACCTGGCTAATTTTTTTTGTTGTTGAGATGAAGTCTCGGCTCTGTTGCCCAGGCTAAAGTGCAGTGTGCACAATCTCGGCTCACTGAAACCTCCGCCTCCCAAGTAATTGTACTGCCTCAGACTCCTAAGTAGCTGGGATTACAGACACCCACCACCATGCCCAGCTAAGTTTTGTATTTTTAGTAGAGATGAGGTTTCACCATGTTGGTCAGGCTGGTCTCGAACTCCTGGCTTCAGGTGATTCGCCTACCTCTGCTTCCCAAAGTGCTGAGATTACAGGCACGAGCCACTGTGAAATTAGCCCGGCCCTGGCTAATTTTTGTATTTTCTGTAGAAACGTGGTTTTGCCATGTTGCCCAGGCTAATCTCAAACTCCTGAGCTCAAAGTGATACACCTGCCTTGGCCTCCCAAGGTTCTTGGATAACAGGCACAAGCCAGCGCGCCCAGCCTTTATATTCCCCCATAATGATGTTGTGATCTTCCAGCACTGCTTTACTGAAAAGACTCATTTCCCTACTGAATTACTTATGCACTTTTATAAAAAATCAATTGGCTATATATGTCTGGTTCCATTTCTAGATCCTCCACCTAAGTTGTTGTGGAAGATAGAGTCTTCTGTTATTCTAGAGTAATTTTCTTCTAGAGAAAGTAACATCTAAGTTTCAACTTGAAAGAAGCAGGGATTAGCCAAATGAGTCAGTATATGGTAAGGAGGAAGGAAGACTATGGCAAAAGGAAAAGAATGTGCAAAGTCCCAACATCATGAAATGGGGAACTTTTTAATCATTTATTTAGAAATATGAGTAGATACCATACAGCAGGAGTCATAAAGTAGCTTAAAATCATTTCGAGTCTAAAGAGAACTTAAATAAATTTATAACAGAAACTAAGTTGGTAGCCACACAAGTGGCTCACGCCTGCAATCCCAGAAATTTGGGGTCTAGGTAGGAGCATTCTCTGAGGCCAGGAGTTCGAGAGAAGTGTGATCAACATAGCAAAACCCCACCTCCACTGGAAAAAAGAACCTAAGTTGGCGGGAGAAAGGCAAAATAATAGGAAATGAGGCTGAAACATTAGACAAGGGCCACAGTTCATAAGAAAACACACAGCAATTAAAGATGCCTCCATCCAGCACAGTGGCTCACATCTGTGATCCTAACACTTTGGGAGGCTGAAAAGGGAGGACTGCTTGAGTCCTGGTGTGAGACCAGCTTGAGCAACATGGGGAGATCCCCACTTTACAAAAAAATTTAAAATTAGCTAAACCTGCGGCTGGGTGTGGTGGCTCATGCCTGCAATCCCAGTGCTTTGTAAGGCCAAAGGGGGCGGGGCGGATCACTTGAGGTCAGGAGTTATAGATCAGTCCGGCCAACATGGGGAAACCCTGTCTCTACTAAAAATACAAAAAAAAAAAAAAAAATTAGCTGGGCATGGTGGTGTATGTTTGTAATCCCAGCTACTTGGAGGCTGAGGCATGACAATCGCTTAAACCTGGGAGGGAGAGGTTGCAGTGAGATTACGCCACTGCACTCCAGCCTGGGCCACAGAGTGACACTCTGTCCCCAAAAAAATTAAAAATAAATAAAATAAAACTAGCTGGATTGAGGCTGCTGTGAGCTGTGATTATGGCACTGTACTCCCATTTAAGTGACAGAGACCTTGTTGCAAAAAAAAAAAAAAAAGCCTCAGCTACTGGTTTGAGCAATAAGTACATAGTAGTATCATTTACCAAAAGAAACACCAGAATCGAGTGGTGAAGAAAAAGGAATAGAAAAGAGTTTGTTTAACTTCGCAGTGTCATATTTTTACTTAATACATGGAGAAAAAGAGTATATGAAGAAATTCCTCAACTTCAGCACTGCTGCCTGGACTGGATACTTCTGTTTGGGGGTGGGGGGCTTCCCATTACCTTGTAGGATGTTTAGCAGTATCCCTGGCCTCTAGCTATCAGATGCCAACAGCATTCTAGTTTCGACAACCAAACTATCTTTAGATATTGCCAAGTATTCCCTGGAGGAAAAATCACCTCCCAAACACCACTGCCACTGAGAACCACTGATTTATACCGCTCAAAGGGCGTAAGACTAAAAACTAAGTTGTATCTATGTATACACAACCGGCCCGCTGTATCCATGAGCTCCCTGATGTGGATTTGACCAACTTTGGATTTGGGGAGAAAAAATATTCAGGGAGAAAAAAAACATGGTTGCATCTGTACTAAACACATACAGACCTTTTCCCTTGTCGTTATTTCCTTAGCAATACAGTGTAACAACTATTTATATAGAATTTATGTGGTAGTAGGTATAACAAGAAATCTAGAGATGATTTAAAGTATACTGGAGGATATGTATAGGTAACATGCAAACATTACACCATTTTACATCAGAGTTGAGCCTTGTGGAATCTGGTATCTGAGGTGGGTCCTGGAACCAATCCCCCACAGATACCATAGGAAAACCATATATCCTTTGTTTTCCACTTCTTTTCCTAGATAATAAACTCGTAAAAGGCAAGATCTGTTCCTAAACACCTCTCGGCTCCCTCACAGCACTAATGCTATACCCCTGGACATTAATTAAATAAGAATACGTTAATCCATTTCAAAAATAGTTCTTACAAGCATGCTTTACTATAAGTTGCATGTGTACTCTAGTACATGTGAATGAAGTGGTTAAAACAGGAAGAAAAAAAGCCTTCTTTAAATTAGAACAGCAATATACCCTTTCTTCAAATTCAATAAACAAGAATTTACTAAAATCCTAGAAAGAATCTGCTAATTTTTGAGTGAGAAAAATGACAATATTCTTAAAGCAGGAAGAAATACTTTAGAACATTACACATCTCACCTGTAGCAGCTGGGTTTATCAATCCAGCAGAACCACTGTTTGCAATCTGAGACGGGGCCTGGCTCAGCCCAGTGGAAGGGGCTCCTAACCGAGGAAACTGTTGAGAACTCATTTCCACCTGCAGTACATACAGTTATATGGTTATTACAAGATTCTGAGATCTGAATCAATATTGAGAAATTAAAGCATCTTTAGTATCTATGAGATAGTCCCCTGGAAAGGCAAATACTGCATCATTTATTTTAAAACAATAACTTGAGATCACTACAAATGCAGGCATTATCTAAACTACCTAAGTTTTTTTTAACTACATCGTTTATACGGCACTGGCGGGTACTATGACCCTCCATAAATACTTGTGGATTGCTATGCTAAAAAAAATCACCATTGAATCCTGTACAACAGTCACATGACAGGTATTACCACAATGTATGTGTATTTCTCTGTAAAGTTTTATGGAAAATGGCATGTCTCTTTGAAACACTCACGCCTCACACCAAGGTGAAGAGAACTGTGATTAGTATGTCATAGGAATATTCGGAGGGAGATACCCAGCCCTAAGAAAGGATCGGATATCTAACATCCAGACCTGATGCAAAAGGAATTCTCCAATGCTTTTCTTCAAAGGCCTCCATTTACGGATTTCCTTTTCTTTATCCTTCATAGACCCCCCCCCAGAGCCAGAGGACCCAAAATCTTCTCCATCTTCCCTAAAATCGCCCCCCACTTTTCCTCAGGAGCCAAGCTCCGCCGATCTCCCCTGATTCGCCCGCAACCCCACCCCACCGCGAAGCCCCCGCTGAGATCAGAGGATGCCGGTTTCCAGACACCTCGGAGTGTGAGACCCCCGTCTCCGGGGTAGGGGTTCGGACGGGCGATCTGGGTAGCCCCTCGACAGGACGAGCACCGTGCCTCTTTACCTGTAGCCGCCGCCCGCCGCCCGCACCGCCCGCTTCTATCTCGCCGGCCTGGGGGTGCCGCGGAGGGCCCATCTCGGCTGCAACGCTGCGCTCGGGGAGCGTCGAGAGAGATCGCGGCGGCGACGCCCGGGCCCGCCGCTGTCCAGCCCGGTTGGCCCCACTCACCCCCGCCACCCGGCCGCCGCTCGGCTAGCAGTTCTCTTCCCCCGAACCTGCCCCTGCCTCCCCCGCCCGCCCATTGGCCCCACGCCCGGCGCGTCACTGGAAGCCCAGGACCAATCTACAGCGACCTGCTCGTTCTGAGCCCGCCCCACCCTCCCGCCGACCGCCAGCCAATCAGGCGCGAGCCTAGCCAGGGCAGCCCAAACCCCTCGAGGCTGAGCCAATGGCAGAGGCAGACAGGAGCCCCCGGCGAGGGGGGCGGGGAGCGGGGAGGCCACGCCTCGGCCGGGGTCTGAAAGCGGCGGGCGGAGGGCCCGGATGTGGAGAGTCACTTTAAACTGCTCCAGAAGCCAAACTCCCTGGGCCGCCCGCCCGCCCGCCCGCGCTCCCCCGGTCCCTCTGCTTCCCCGCCAAGGCCCACGTCCGCCACGCCCCCACGCCCGGGTCAGCCCACCCCTCCCGGTGCCTCTCCCTTCCTCGCCACAAGACACCCAGCCCCTGTCGCCGGCCCAACTGCCGTGCACAGCTCGCGAAAGAGCCGGGGTCCGAGCCTCCGGAGACGAAGATCCTCTGCCCTTCCCCAGGGACGCGCAACGGGACAGACGCTGCAGCCCGGCTCGGCCGCCCCGCCCCCTCGTCTCCTCCCCTTCACTCCCGGGCGCCCGTCCCGCCATTACCTGGGTGCTGCACCGAGTGGCCGCCGCACCGCCTCGAGCTCGCTCCCGCGCGCTCTCCGTCTGCGGGGCCGACGTCCTCAGGCTCCGGACCCGCAGCCGCCGCCGGGGCGCTAGCACTCTGTCCCCCACCCCTCACTCCAGCGCCGCTGCTTCCGCCGCCGTAACGAGCCTCCCATCTATTGGCTGGCGCAGGCCCCGCCCCCTACCGAGTCAGCCAATCGCTGGTGGTCGTGAGCGGGATTGCGGACCGGCCCGCCCCTCCGAGGCGCGGCGTCCTCTGGGAAATGTAGTCGTGGGGCCAGGAGGGCGGGCCGCGAAGGAGGTGGAGAGCGCCGGGGCGGGGCCGCAGGCGACCCGGCCAGGGCAACACACCCCTTTGCCGTCTGAAGTCAGTTCTTTTTTCTTGGCCGAGTGAGAAGACAGTGGATGCCACCGTATGCCTCAACCTGAGGGCATTGGGTTTCATTTTCCCCACAGGGAGGGGCGGCGCGGCGCGGGAAAGGGTAATGGAGGCCAACTGCGGCGGCTGAGGGGGCCGTGGGCCGCCTGGGTGTCGTGACGGTGCCCGCCTCCCTACGCCGCGAGTGGGACTCGGTGTCCCCTCCGGGGGCCGCGATCCGCACAGCCTACGCGCGGCGGGAGCAGCCAGGCGCGGCGCGGGCGCGGCTCTGTGGAAGCAGCTCTGTGGAAACAGGCCGGCGGGACGCAGGGCTCCGGGCGGCCCGGGCGCACCTGCGCGCGCTTTCCTCATTATAAAGGACCTGAAGGGGGCAGTTTTATTTTGTCATTTTGTTTGGGGTTCAGAGTTGGAGTTTATGCACCTGTAGAAGTCTTAGCCATATCTGCTGAGGGCACACTTGCGTTTGATAAGAGATTAAGGCCCCCCCTTCCCTTACCAGATGGTCATTTAGGCCTGGAGCTTTGTGATTAGTTATGAAATAAATGGAGCTCAAACCTCCTCTTCCTATCATGCACAGTTGTGTAAGACAACTGCTTGGATAGAAGAGAGTAGCTCCTGGCTATAGCCCAGGGATGACTCTCAGATACTCCTCCCCTTCTAGCCACTTTCCTTTTTCACCTTCCTGCCTTCATTCTTAAACTTCTAAAAAGTGACTGCTGTGACACTTCAGCCTTCTGTGTGTCTAGGCAGTCCTTTTCCCTGTTGGAGTTGCCACTCTTCTCAGACTGCTCCCCAAAAGTTGCCAACACCTACTCAACTTCAAACGCAGTTGGTCCTCGCTTAGATCTCATCTTGTTTATTACTGACCAGTAGTAATTCCTCCTCATACCTTCCCTTGGCCTCTGGAACCAGGCTGTCTTCTCTTCTACTCCTGTCTCAAGCTCCATTATACCTCCTCTTTCTCATAAACATAGCATTCTTCAGGGCTCCAACGCTCTAATGCTATACTGGCCTCCTGAATGATTTAATGTATTCCCACAGTTTCAAATGTCATCCTTTTGTCTGTGTGTGTGTGTGTGTGTGTGTGTGTGCGTGTGTGTGTGTGCGTGTGACAGGGTCTCAGTTCAACCATGCTGAAGTGCAGTGGTGTGATCACAGCTTATTGCTGCCTTGACCTCCTAGGCTCAACTAACCTCTTGCCTCAGCCTCCCGAGTAGTAGCCAGGACTGCAGGCGCATGCCACCACATCCTACTAGTTTAAAATATATATATATATTTTATAAAAATTTATTAAAAATATATATATATATATGAGACAGGGTCTCATAATATGCCCAGGCTGGTCTCGAACTCCTAAGCTCAAGTGATCTGCCCACCTCGGCCTCCCAATGTGCTGACATTATAGGCATGAGCCACTACATCCAGTCTCAGATACCACCTTTGAAAATGTTACGCTGGGTGCGGTGGCTTATGCCTGTAATCCCAGCACTTTGGGAGGCTGAGGCGGGTGGATCACCTGAGGTCGAAAATTCGAGACCACCTTGACCAACATGGAGAAACCCCGTCTCTACTAAAAGTACAAAATCATCCAGATGTGGTGGTACCTACCTGTAATTCCAGTAACTCGGGAGGCTGAGGCAGGAGAATCACTTGAACCTGGGAGGTGGAGGTTGCAGTAAGCTGAACTTGTGCCATTGCACTCCAGCCTGGGCAACAGGAGCAAAACTCCGTTAAGAGAGAGAGAGAGAGAGATAGGGGAAGAGAGGGAAGGAAAAAAGAAAGAGAGAGAGAAAGAAAGAAGAAAATCTTACCTATGTAGTGACCTCTCTGAGTTGTATACCTGTAGTTCCACCTGATGGGCCAATTGACACAGAAGTCTTACAAGCCCCTCAAAGTTAATGTATTGAACACCTTTATTGATTTGCCTTACCTATGTACTCCTCTTGATACCTGGGCTTACTTACTGGCATCACCATCCTTTCTGTCTTCAGCTTCAACATATATGAAGCTGAAGACAGAAAGATTGCTACATTGATATGCACCTCTGCCTCCTTTCCAATTGCTTCCATAGCTGTGGCTCAAGCTGTCATTATTTCTTATCTGAATTGCAGCAATGCTGCTGTCCCCCTGAAATATCTTCCTACACCCAATATGTCCTCCAGAATTCTTTTTCTAAATCACTAATCTGGATCTAGCCTTACCATCCACGATGTTTCCATATCTTCAGAATATATTCCAAATCCCTATGCCCAATATCCAAAGGCCTTAATAATTTAGTGTCTCCTACCTCTCCAAAAACTAGATACTCTCTCAACAGTTTCTACTAGTTATCTACACAGTTTGGCTTCCAGCATTTTGCTCTGGCCTGAAGTGCGTTCTAATAGGTTAGGATGCTCAGCAATCATCTAGAAGAGTTCTATCAATTCTATAATGCCTAACTGGAAAGAAAATCCTTTCCTTTCTGCAAGAAGCCTTCCTGCAATTCCTCTCCTTTCCCCACCAACTAGAATACTTCCATAGCACTTCATTAATACCTTTCTTACAGCACCGATCTGTGTCTGCCCATATTCCTCCTGCAGTAGGTGGAGAGAGAAATTATTCGTCTTTATATCTCCTGTCAACAGGGTTTTAGATCCAGGAAGCATTCAATAAATGTTTGCTAAATATAATCACAAACACATCAGTGCTACTATATGATTGAAATCGGAGTTTACCTGAGTTACTTGGGACAGTAGCTATGGCTTTATTCATCTGCGTCTCTAGTCCCTCACAAAGTGGACACTTAAAGAAAAACAGGTGCTTCACCCATCTTTTATCACTAGGGTTAGAATTCCCATCAACTGAGCTTGGTGTGCAGAAGACACTTCCACACTCCTCAAGTATGCAAGCCCTATGCCAGTTTCGGGAGCTTATTAGTATTTGAGGCTCTTGAAAATTGGCCAGGCATGGTGGCTCACACTTGTAATCCCAAGCAGAACACTTGAGGCCAGGAGTTTATGACCAGCCTGCCCAACATGGTGAAACCTCATCTCTGTTAAAAATATAAAAATTAACCCAGCATGGTGGGGCACGCCTGTAATCCCAGCTACATGGGAGGTTGAGGCTGAATTGTTTGAACCTGGGTGGCAGAGGTTGCAGTGAGCCAAGATTGTACCACTGCACTCCAGCCTGGGTGACAAAGCAAGACTCAGTTTCAAAAAAAAGGAAAAGAAAATAATGTTGTTCACCCATGATATTTTGAATGGATTAAGCAGAGATACAGTAGGCATCATATATGCTGGGTGGTTTTCTAGAGAAAAGCAAATACCTACTGTTTTCTGCCAACAAAGCAGACAGGTTCTCCACGTAGAGTGTCCTGTGGAAGTCAGTCAGATGTCAGCAAATGATCCGTGAGACTTGGTGAAGTGATTGAAACCACTTTTGCAGAATCATGACAGTGAGAGATATCAGCCGTAGTTGACCCCATCTTACTTCTGACCTCCAAGCTATCTTTGGCTATTCCTGGGTGTAGAGCAAGCTGTTTCCGAATTTAGTTTATAGTTTAACTTGAAAGCAAGGATGATAACAGTCCGTCTCTAAAACTAACCCCCTCCTTGCTTGGAGACCCAAACCACCTTTGTAAGTCCAATGAAAGGCCACGAGAATAGGATTATGAGAGGGGCCTGAACTCTCCTAAAATGTGTTCAGTTTCTATAATCCCTTACTGCTCAGGAGTCATGTGGCCAGAGAGCTCAGATTTATGACTTCCCCAATTGCTCCTACAGATAACATCATTGTTGTAAAGATTTTTTTTTTAATATTTTTCAGACTGATCCTACCTGAACTCGTGACTCATGGCTCCACTGGTCCTGTGGCCCCACCCAGAGGCAGACTCAGCACATGAGGACTGTTTTCCACACCCTGATGATTTCATCCCCAACCAATCATAGCACTCATTCCCTATCCCCCTGCTCACCAAATTGTCCATAAAACCCTAAGCTCTGAGCCTTTGGGGAGACTGATTTGAGTGATAACTCTAGTCTTCCATGTTGCCGACCTCCTGTCAATTAAACACTTTCTCTGCTGCAATGCCAAGGTCTTAGTGGATTAGTTTTGTCTGTACAGTGGACAGGAAGAACCCATTGGGTGATTCAACATTTTGTTGAATTTTTTTCTCTTTTTTAAATGTGTGTGTGTGTGTGTGTGTGTGTTTAGAATTCAAGGGCAAACTGGTAGTAGTAGCCTGCAAGTTTTTATTGAACAGTACCGCTCCTTGTGGAGAAGGGCTAACACATAGGCAGTGTGCCCAGAGTCAGCCAGGTCATTACACTTTGGTGGACCTCTTTACCACTGGATCCAGATGGTTCTCTCTCAGTCACCGCATGAGCAGTATAATGATACTGACTCTCTGCAGTTGCCCTCTGTCCAAATATTTCCCTTGACTCAATCTCCTAGTCAGGGAAAGCCTTGTTTCTTCTAGGTCACTCATGTAACATAATCATACCCTTACTTATCTCCAGCTAAGCTGCTACGCATACTAAATGAGCTATACATAAAGAATGTGTTTCTTTTGAACTTGTCCATATTGATCATTTTTATAACCTCCACCTGTTTATTACCCGGGGCAAACTCAGAGTCTTTCTCCTCCTGGTATCACATTTTGTACCACTGTACCCACCCCAGCAGCACCTATGCCATGTGTGGCAGAAGACTCTAGGATGGTGCCCCGTGATCCCTTCTTAGTATTCCTACCCTTGTGTAGGAACCAAGGCAAAGGGATCATTCCTTTGCCTTGAGTGTGG